CGAGAGCCGCCAGCCTGGTCCCGGGAAGAGGCGGAGGGTCTGCTAGCTGGGTGCTGGCAGGCTTGTACCTGGCATGGGCACCGTAGCCAGCCCGGGCCCCTTTAAGGGCTCCGGGGCCGGGAGGGGGGCAGACGAGTTTCCCTGGTGGTGCCCAGAGTGGCCACCAGGGAAAGCTGGGGAGGGCTAGCCTCCCACTAGTTCAAATTAAGGGGCTACACAGCCCTTAATTCGAACTAGTAAGTTCGAATGAGGCTTAGTCCTCGTAAAATGAGGTTTACCTAGTTCGAACTAAGCGCTCCGCTAGTTCAAATTAAGTTCGAACTAGTGGAGCGCTAGTGGAGCGCCTATGAATGTTAATTCGAACTAACATCTGTTAGTTCAAATTAACTTTGTAGTGTAGACATACATAGTTATTAAGCTCAGGAAATAAAAACGTGATATTTAAAAAAATTTATTTCATTGCTCTGTTTATATAGATACTCTGAATTTACAACTAGTCACACTAAGCATTCAGCATATGCCATCCTGACAGTGGGGTGAGTGAGAGGATGGATAGAAATATGAAGTGAAAGACAAGCTTCAGATAATATTAATGTCGCTGACAAAGATGAAGATGGTAAAGGTGTATAGGTCCACATTCAAATGATGCATCATCAGACATTGCTGAAAAGCCCAATGAAGTGATACAAGTTAAAAATGAAAATATCAAACAGGAGACAAAGCACAATCATTTTATTTTAGTCCTAGTTCTCTGAATAGAGCAGTAAAAGGGTTATCGTGCACTGTCATATCAAATGCAGTGGAATAACATTAAGAGCCATCATTCTCCAATCACAAATGAATTCAAATGGGGAGAGCCATGTGAAAAATAAAAGGAGTTGTTATAGCATAAAACTACTATATGTCTCCTGATAGCCGGACTCAAGAAGCCTGGTTAAATACTGACTTTCTTTCACAGTCAATCAGATAATAAAACCCCTTTAGAAGCACAGAATAGTTAAATTCATCACCATAATTTAATTGTAGAAGGTTATTAAAGAGCACTTCGACTCCCCTCCTGCTTCGGCGCTGCTTTTGTGTATTAAACTCAGACTAATCAAATTGCAGATTCCAAGAGTACTGTATTAGTCATCCCCATCCCTTTTAATTTGTTTAATGGCCTCCCTTCTTTGTGTGTGTGTGTGTGTGTGTGTGTGTGTGTGTGTGTGTTCAGTCTGACTGGCTGTGCGGGACTAAGGCTCACGACACGTAAATAAAGAAGGGACAGGGGAACAGTTCGCCAAAGAGAATAAAGCGTGCCTCCATTCTAAAGTTACATTTGATGTCAGAGTAATTCATGGGACGTGTACTGCAAGCAATGGTGCTTATTATTTCTGCTTAACTGTCTACTGACACAGGAGGAGAGGGGAACGGGGTATTAAAGAAAGGAAGAAAGAAAAGAAAAGAAGCCTGAATTTACACTTACTGCTTCAAAAGCCCTTTTGTACTTCGCCAACTTCTCCTGGCTGAAGATGCAGTATTTTGCCAAAAAGTCGACTGCAAAAGAGGACCAAATAAATAAATAAATAAATAAATAAATAAATAAATAAAATAGGACCATAAAAAAACTTGTTCCCTGTTTTTTTTCTTTTAGATTTTTTAAAAAATTAACATAATGAATACTATTTTATAAAAGGAACAATAATGGTGATCTTATGTAAAACCACAGAACCATCTTCTTGGTAGAATTTTCAGATGTACTCTTTTTATAGTTGTGGAAAAGTCTTTTCACCTGGACCAAGGCACAAAGTCAAAGTTGGCTCTGAATAAGAGATGTTTAACATGTATAACACATAGGAACTCCATCCAGGGGAAGCTGCAATCAGGGAGCATGTCAAGGTTTTGTTGTTTGTTTTTCACTGTCCCAGAAAGACTATTTTCAGATTTTAATTCTATGAAATAGGTTCCACCACTTGTCTCAAATTCTAATAAAACCAAGATACCATTTTAATTTTATTGATTGTCCAGGAAAGAAATAGGACAAAGATATCAACACTCCTTCTTTAAGGTCTAGAACAGAAATGGATACATTTCATGTTATTGCCCCTCTGGCCAAAGTCAGAAAGGAAAATTTTATCCTATGACCAGACCTACCTTCTCTTGAGATTTTTCCTCATCTCGGTTTTCTTTCTACCTATTTTCTTGACCTATCATTTATAGAAGGACAGCAGAGGAAGGTATTGGTTTGTATGATGGTGGCCCCATTTCCTCACACTAAACAGAAGCAAGAGACACTGGTCAAATTAGGATAAGAAAATTTGGAGGGAAATCTTCAGTTATGCTTCAAGTAAAGATTGAGGTATAAAGTGATGAGACCAATGAGTGACAACAGGCAAGACGGGCTATTTACTTGAGAATATAGATTTTTAAATTCAGAGCAAAAGAGCAGCAGCTAAGAGGTGTACTAGTGTTAAAGAAACAAACCTGAAATATACCAGTCAAATGTTGTTTTAAGAAAAGAATACATCTACCTTCAAGATGAATGTAAGAAAAGTTACTATTTGCATGTAGTTCATTTGGGTTTGTGCCCCATACAGAACAGGAAAAATAACAGAGTCTCAAGGTACGTCTACACAGCAGTGTTATTTTGGAATAATTGATATTATTCCAAAATAAAATGGTCTACATCTAAACAGCAAATCATAATTTCAACATAATGTCAAAATAATGTCAAGCTGGAAGACTTCTTACTCTGACTCCTGTAACCCTAATTTTATGAAGAGTAAGGGAGGTCAGAGGAAGAGTGCTCTTTCTCAGACTTCCTGCTGTGTAGACAGCACCAAAAGACAAAATAAGCGATTTCGACTTAACCTACCCAATTGACATAGCTCAAGTTGCGTAGCTTATTTTGGCTTCAGCCCTGCTGTGTAGATGTGTCCTCAATTAGAAATGTAAAGGGTTTATCAGTTAACTGGTTACCCAGTAAGCATTGTCTTACTGGCATGCTTACTGGGGTAACTGGTTAACTCGCACCCCGCCCGGCCATAGGCAGAAGACTGCTCAAGGCCCTCTGGGACTACACTGCCACCACATATAATTTAATCGGTTAACATTTTAAACAGGATTTTACATCCCTTGTCTCAGTGTCACAGTCACTCATCCTTCACACACCAGATGAACCAAATCTCCACGAAAGAAGAAAAAGTCTCATTGATTTCCACAACAAAACAAAAAGGAGATTTTTGTGAAAATAAAGATATCATCATAACTTGACAGTTGCTGGTAGAGCCATTGTGGCTGCATGTGTATCTGCATTCCAAACAAAATTACATTACTAAAGATACAATGAAAAAACTCTCATGTTTTGAAAACGTGAAGAGTTTGCTTGTCGTGTATCTATCCTGTCGGCAGTTGCTTTCCTCCTAAAAAAGATTCCAGCCGGAGAGAATAACGAACAATACTAGTGACATACTCAGCTTCTAAAAAAGAAATGCATCACCACAAAAAATTAGCATTTCTCCAAGATCTAACTACCTATACTTTTAGGGTGGGATTTCCATGCATGCTCAGCATTGGCCCAGCCCTGTTCGTAAAGTCAATCTGAGGGCTTTAGAAAATCCTGCCCTCTTTTAAATAGAATTTGTAGAGCTATCTGTATTGGCGCCATCTGGTGATTCCCAAATATATAACACTCCATTTTATATAAGAAATTTATCAAGTTTACTTTTAGAGACTTGAATTTTTCTCTCATCAGGTATTTCAGAATATTACTGTTTAACTTCAAGCCACGTTATTCAAATATTCATTTCATAACAAATGTTTCTAAATTTACTCTCCGACAGTAGTACCTCACTGACAGAAGCAGATCAGGAGAACTTATTTAATTAGATTAAAAGATTTTATGACTGGAAGGGGACTGTCAGTTCACACAGTCTGACTTCCTGCACAGTACAGGCCATAGAATTTAATAAAGTTACTCCTATATTGAGCACAATAACTTATGTTTGGATACAGATATATTCTGTAGAAAGGAGCCCAGTCTTGGTCTGATGACTTCAAGAGATGGAGAATCCAACACTTCCCTTGATAGTTTGTTCCAGTCGTTAATCACTCAGATTACTAAAAATGTGTGCCTTATTTGTAGTTGGAATTTTTCTGGCTTTAGCTTCCACTCATTGGTTCTTATTATGCCTTTCTTTCCTAGATTAAATTACTTTTTAGAACCCAAGATTTTCTCCCTGTGAGCTACTTATATACTATAATTCAGTCACTTCTATCTTTTTTTAATATAAACTAAATAGTCTGAGTTTTATGTCATGGTAAGGTATTTTCTTCATTTCTAGAACAATTTTTGTGGCTCTTTTCTGCACTCACATTTTTCAACATTATCTTACAAATGTGGACACCAGAACTGGACATACTATTGGTCTACAGGTAACTACAGGTAAAAATCTCTTCCCTTCTTCTACTCACTAATCTCATCTATTCATTCAGTGAACTATGGATCTTACATCCTTTTCAAAGTCACTGCTTTCCAGGATACATAACCCCATTGTGTAGGTATGGCCTGCACTCTTTGTTCTTAAATGTATGCCCTTGCTTTTCACTGTGTAAAACAGATTTCCTTTAAATGGGACCAATTGGCATAAATCACTCAGTATGGGTGTCTTATTCTTATGGAGTATGTCTACATTGCATTCCTCTTTCAAGAGAGGAATGCAAATGCAGACGAACAAAATTGCAAATGAAGCGTGGATTTGAATTTCCTGTTAGCATAATCACATCCAGGCGCTATTTTGAAATATCCTATTTTGAAAAAAGAAACCCTGTGTAAATGTGGTTATTTTGAAAGAAACCCCTTCTTTCAAAATAACCTTTACTCCTTATAAAATGAAGTTTAAGGGTTATTAAGAAAGAAGGGTTTTCTTTCAAAATAACCGTGTCTACACAGCATTTCTTTTTTTGAAATAGAGTATTTCGAAATAGCGCCCGGACACGATTATCCAAATGAAGCGTGGGAAATTCAAATCCGCACTTCATTTGCAATTTCATTTGTCTGCATTTGCATTCCTCTCTTGAAAGAGGAATGTAATGTAGACATGCCCATAGTTGTCAATCTTTGTGTCATTCACAAACTTTATCAGCAGAGAATTTACATTAACTTCCATATCATTGAGAAAAATATTGAAAAACATTGGGGCTAGTACTATTCCCTTCAGAACCCCACTGGAAATATACCCCTCCCCCACAGTCGATGATGATTGCCCATTGGCAACCACTTTTGAGGATGTTCCAGTTTCCCACTTCTTATTCCTTTAGCATCAGCTTCATTGATACTGATTCATGTACTCAACTCATCCCAAACAAACAACAGTGCATTCATAACTCCCTTCCATACTTGGCAGTCTCTTGTTTAAGTTTTAGCTTCCTCCAATGTCATTTTAATAGTTTTCAATTCTTACTGTTTCCAAATTGCAAACCTGGGGATTCCAATCCAACACCAGCCTTGTTCAGTATTTTTCTCTGTGTGTTCTAGCCATCTCTATTTTCATCCCAGGATATCCTGTCCTCGCCGTTTCTGTTTCATTCTGCTCTGAAGTTCTTTAATTGACATTTATTCTGGCCATTTGATGTTAAGGATTTGTCTAAGGCAGCTGTTTATAAAAACTGAGTATAGATGTTAATGTCTTGGGAAGTTTCCAAGTTTCAGCACCATATAGTAATATAGCTTTATAAGGAAGTTACTTAGGGTGTGTCTACGCTGCAGGGCTTAACTGGAAATGAGCTACGCAAATTCAGCTATGTCAATTGCATATCCAGTGTTGTACTGAGCAGGGCAGGGGGGGACAGTTGCCACAGGTGCCATGCTAGAGGGCGCCAATTTAGCTGCCAGGCCACTTGCTCCCTGCAGACAAGCCGCCAAGGCAGGGCCTGGGTCCGGGAGCTGGCACTGCAAAGGCTTGCCCGGGAGCCCAGTGTCCCTGGCTCAGGAGTTGCTGCCACCCCACCCCACCTGGGCACATAACACTCTTGCTATGCCACTGTGCATATCTTATTTTGAAATGTTTTTTTCAAAATAGGGAGCATCTACACAGCACTTATTTCGAAATAGAGCATTCTTCTTCCAGCTTCCCTTATTCCTCGTACAATGAGGGTTACAGGAGTCCAAGTAGGAAGCCCTCTAGCTCGACAGCATTTTGATACTATTTTGAAATAACTGCCTGCTGTGTAGATGTGGACTAAGTTATTTCGGAATAGCGCTAGTTATTTCGAAATAGTGTTGCAATGTAGATGTATCCTCAGTCAAAGTTTAGTGCTTGGGGCAAGGTTTTGTTTCTCCAGATTGGTTTTAGGTAGGGATGTTAAGTATCAGTTAATTGAATAGTCGATTAACCTAATGATTTCTTAATGGTTACTCAACTATTCTATAGTCCCAGGGGCGGAGCCAGAAGCCAGTGTGATCTGGTCCCACTCCTGAGGACCTCCCTGCCACTCTGCACTGCTGGCTCCATATCAGAGGCAGCAGCCCGGGGTGCCAGGTGGGAGCTGGTCCATGA